CCCGCTGTCTTTTTTGGCGAGACCGCCATCTCGTTTGGCGAGCCCGCTGTCTTGTTTGGCGAGACCGCCGTCTCGCCACTTACCGAAGGCGAGACCGCCATCCCATTTGGCGAGACGGCGGTCCCGACCTGACAGGTACGAATTCCTATAAAAGGGGGGGGGGGACTTCCTCACTCTTTTCACGACATTCTTCTACTTTCTCTTCTGCACTTCTTTCAAATTACTCTCCTAGGACCCCTCTAAAGCATTTCCAGAGTTTCTTAGTATTCTTAGAAAGCGTTCCGTAGTGTTGCGAGGAAGAGAGATCAACATTGTAGAGTGTGGGGATTGCCAAAAAGCACTCTATTTCAAAGAACTTACTATAAAAGCTTGTTTCGAAGGTTCCTATATACTCTCTTCTCTACTTTATTGCTTTTTAGATAGTATTGTTGTGCATTAATCATTTAGGGTCATGTAGTCAATATTTTAATTTTCGTAATAAATAAATAAGGGTATAAGCGCAATTTATAGTTATTATTTCTTTATATAAACAGTCCATCATAGGGAACCCGAAAGGGGCGTCGTAGGGAAGCTAATACCTTCCCTACACGTAACTAACTCCCTTACCCGACTCTGATTGTAATGGTCAAAGTTGGTTTTTCTAAAGCAATGCCTTCTTTTTTTCTTTTTCCAATATTTTCAGTAAAAACATTGATGGCGACTCCTCGAACCTTTCAAAAACCTCGCCTTTAGGTCCAACCCGGTTATCAGACAACCTAAAGGCATTGTACCATTTCTTTTAAAAACGCGAATCAAACAAAACCATCGCATCGCTCCAACTGCCTCTTTTGATGGCGGCGATACACCATCTATAAAAAACCTTACACCTGCATACATGAGTGAAAGAAGAGTAAAAGGGTTGTGTTATTTTTGTGATGAGCCTTTTACACCCAAACATTCTTTAACTCATAAGAAGCTTCGAATAAATGTTATGAAGGTTGATGATAAGTCAAATTCTGAAGGGGAAGACGTTGTGAGAAAAGAAATAGTTGTTTCCTCATCTAATGAACCTCTAATATCAATAAATTCTTTAACTAGGGCTATTGGTTTTAGAACTATGAGAGTCACAGGTTATTACAAAAAAACACCCCTTCACATCCTCATTACAAGTGGTAGTACTCATAATTTTTTAGATGTGCATATGGCATAAAAATTGGGATGTAGAATTGATAGAATCTCTTACTCAAATGTAATTGTTGTTGGTGGAACTAAGATTCAAATTTTGAATATGATTAAGAGTTTTACTTGGACAATCCATAATACTAGTTTTTCTTCTAATATAATGTTGTTGCCCATGGGTTGTTGTGACATGGTGCTTGGGGTGGAATAGTTAATAACACTCGGTGACACTACTTGGAACTTTGACAAGCTAACTATGGAGTTTATTACTCATGAGAGGAGACATGTACTAAGAGGGATTTCTACTGATAAGCTTAAAAATGTACGGAAACAACAATTACATAAAACACTTTCATCGGGGGTGCATATATCTATGCAACAGTTGTGTGATGGGAGGAAGGAGTCGCTATTGAATCCCCTTACTACTCATGGGCCTGAATCCACCACACCCACTAGCGTGGCAATATTACTATGTAATTATGATGATATTTTCCAGGAACCTACCAACTTACCCCCTGTTAGACCTACTCATGACCATAAGATCCCACTGATTCCATGCACTATACTTGTGAATAAGTAACCCTATAGATATGCTAAACACTAGAAGGATATCATTGATGGCCTAGTAAAGGAGTATTTGCAATCAGGCATAATCCAAAATAGTAATAGCCCATATTCTAGCCCAATTGTACTAGTAGGGAAAAAATAGTAGTTAGCGACTTTGTGTGGACTACAGGGAATTGAACAAAGATATAGTGAAGAATAGATTTTCAATTCCTCTATGATCTTCTAGATGAGTTATTCCTCGATGATCTTCTAGATGAGTTACATGACTCTAAGTTGTTTTCTAAGATAGATTTAAGTTCCAGTGACAATCAAGTGAGGATGGATGAAAATGAGGTATAAAAGACAGCCTTTAAGATTCATGCAAGTCATTTTGAATACTTGGTTATGCATTTTGGTCTAACAAATGCACCAGCCACATTTCAAGGTCTTATGAATGTTGTGTTCCAAGACTACTTGAGAAAATTCTTGCTAGTATTTTTTTTATGATATTCTCATTTATAGTAAATCACTAGAAGATCACTTGTGTCACTTACATACTATCTTTTCTACCATGCGGTCTAATTTTTTGTATGCCAAAAAATCTAAATGTTATTTTGCAGTATCTAAAGTGGAATATGTAGAACATTTTATTTCAGGTGAGGGTATTGAAACCGATCCAACAAAAATTGAAGCAGTTAAGTAGTGACCTCTACCTCAATCTCTGAAACAGCTAAGGGGATTCCTTGGATTAGCTAGATATTATAGACGGTTTGTGCATAAATATGGTTTTGTGGCCAAACCTCTTACGGATATGCTTAAGAAAGATAACTTCTACTGGACCCATGAAGCTAAGTTAGACTTCCAAAAATTGAAGGATCTATTAGTCTCAATACCCGTCCTTGCTTTACCTAATTTTGAGATAGATTTTGTAGCTGAAACCGATGCTTCAGGTACAGGTATTGAAGCTGTTTTAGTGCAGGATAATCATCACATAGCTTTCATTAGTAGAAGCTTAAATGTGCAACAACAATACCTATCCACTTATGAGAAAGAATTGCTAGTTGTTGTCTTTGTAGTATATAAGTGGAGACATTACTTATGACCTAAAAAAATTGTGATCAGAATAGATCATTGGAGCCTCAGGTATATTTTGGATCAGAACAGATCATAGTATTCCAACAAAATGGTTGGTGAAGCTCATTGAATTTTATTTTTGCATAGAGTACAAACAGGGTCAGGAGAATTTGGTTGATGACTCATTATCTAGAAAAAGCTTACTTGAGAGTAATGCTATCTCGATGGTTCAACTTGATTCAGACATGATCACTAGAATTAAAGCTTCATGGCAATCTGATTTAGATGTTCAAAGACTTATTTCAAAGATACAAAATAATTCCAGCTCACATAAACACTTCTCTTGGCAGAGAGGGGAATTAAGAAGGAAGGGTAGGTTAATGATTGGTAAAGATATGAAATTAAGGAAAGACATTCTGCATTGGCTACATTCTTCAGGTTGTGGGGGCCATTTCGATAGAGATGCAACCTTACAAAGGATCAAGGCGATTGTATTTTGGAAAGGCATATTCAAAGATGTAAATAAGTTTATTCATCAATGCAGTACTTCTCAAATGTGCAAATATGACTCCACTGGTTACCCAAGGCTACTACAACCTTTGCCCATACCTAAGCATGTATGGCAGCACATTACAATGGACATCATAGAAGAACTTCCTGATTCAGGGGGCAAACAAGTTATTTTTGTGGTAGTAGATAGGTTCAATAAAGTTGCACACTTCATGTGTCTCCAACATCCTTATTTTGTTGCTAATGTAGTCCAATGCTTTATGGATAATATATTCAAACTGCATGGGTTTCTTGATTCTATAACAAGTGACATGGATCTTATCTTTGTTAGTCGATTTTGGTAGGAGTTCATGGCTTACCAAGGAGTGCAAGTTCAGTTTTCTACTGCTTATCACCTGTAAACAGACGGACAGTTAGAAGTGGTTAATAGGTCCTTGGAAACTTATTTGAGATGCATGTGTTCCGGAAATATTAAACAATGGTCTAAATGGCCTCCTTTAGCTTAATGGTGGTATAATACAACCTGCCACATTTCTATTAAAGTTCGCCCTTATGAAATAGTATATGGACAGGCCCCACCTGATTACCTTCCCTACCTACTAGGTGAATCTAGAGTTGAATTAGTAGATAGAAGTCTCTAGAAAAGAGAGGAAATGTTAAAACTATTGAAATTTCATGAGACGAGCACAAGATAGAATGAAGCAGTTAGCGGATAAGCATAGGACTGATAGGAAGTTGTAGATTGGATATTTGGTTTATGTGAAGTTATATCCCTATAGATAAGTTTTTTGGCATTTAGAAGCAATGCCAAATTAGCCCCCAAATACTAGTTCCTACCCTGTTTTGCATAAAATTGGGGTGGTGGCTTACAAGGTTCAACTTTCCCCTAATTCTCTGATCCACGTGTTTCATATCTCACAACTCAAGAAATTTGTTGGAGAAATACCAACATCCGTAAATTGTCTAAGCATTGACGAGGAATAACTAGAGACTATACTCGAGAGGATGATAGTAAAAAAAGATAATAATAATAAGGTTGTAACAAAGGTGTTCATCAAGTGAAAACATCAACTTCTGTAAAATACGTAAGAGTTTTACTATGATTTGAAGAGAAAAATTCCAAGATTCAATTCTTGAGGGCAAGGATTTCTTTGAGATGAGGGGATTGATGCAGGATTAGTATATTGACTCGTGTGATTAGGAATGATAGATTAATATATAACTACGTGTTAGTAAAAGACAATTGATTAATGTCCAAAGCCACGTGTCAATAGGTAGTGGCTCTGCAAGTTTGTTAGCAATAAGTCATTGTATGCATATAATTAGTAGCAGGAACTCTAAAAAGGGAGCAAAATTCTATTTTGTTTTTGAAAAATCTATGTAATCTTCATTCTATACCAGTAAAATCAGAATTCATTCTTGTATGGGGTTCTCTTTCTCTTTCTTGATTATTCTATTCATTAGAAATCCTAGAACTATATCAATTACCAAACATTATATATATACACTATCACCATTATAATAAAAACTAACCGATTTCCAGCAAATTAGGTTTTAGAATATAATTATCAATTTTAACAACCAATTTCTGAAATGATCAAATTTGGTCAACAATTTAATAATAGCAGCAATTTTAGAAGAAAAACAAAGGCCATAGGCTTGCACTAGTTGCATTCACATATCAGAACAAAAAACTGTGAGATGTTGTACATTTAGCTGCAAATATCATTTTTCTCATCAAGTGCAAGCCTCTTGAGTAACCGCTCTTGGTGCTCAGAGAATGCCAAAAACAAATCCCTCCTAGCACTAGCTATCTTGAATTCTTTAGTTCCTGAATATACAACCTTCAAATTGTTTCTCGGTGCACTGTTTCCTTTCTGCAAAAATACAATGAAAATATGACGCGTACTACCATGGCTTATTTTACCACATCTAAACAACTTTTTCAGAACTAAGACTATTGGCAATACAATGAAGACAGTTACTTCCTCCATCCTGCACCATTTTCTATCTTCCAGATTGGCTAATCGGGAATCTAAATTACATTCTGGAATTATTGACTTCCAGTATTGGTGCAAGAAGAATTTATCTGGGTTCAGGAAGCATTTGCCTACAGTTAATTTGTATAAAGGCCTAAAAAGTAAAAAATAAATTAAAAAAAAGCTTATGTTAGGACATTGGGTTTGGGGTTAAGCCCAATAAAGGGCCTACATAAGGGAAGTCATGTTTTCATTTTGGTTAGGAACCTTGAGAGATTAGGCAGAGATTGTGGAGCATTAGCTCTGAATTCAGGAGGTTTCTTCTGTATTAAATCTTATTTTTCAATAAATAATATAAGTTTCTATTTCTTTTGAATCAGATTCCTATTGGCTTCTTTATAATTAAAAACACGTTATGCAGAAGTTAAAAACCAACTTCAAAAGAAACTAATAAAAAATAACTTCTACAAATTACTTAATACATAGAATAAATTTACTTTCTGAAAAATGTTTATTTTATTTTCCTTTTTCTTTTCTTCTCCCATAAGTACCTTTCTAATTAGGCTCTAAACCTATTACAACGAACGACTGATTTTCTAGGTATCTCAATTTTACCTTGGTTGCCCCTTTAGTCTTGACAAATTATCATTCTCCACTACAACGCCATTAAATATTCTTTTTGTTGGTGAAAGGGAGGAAGGAAATTTGTGTATGAAACCTTACCTCAGATATATGCACCAATGATCCTATTGATGCTTTAATATTTTTTAATCCCTTCACTCTTTCAAGTATCACCCAAGGCCTAAAAACGACAATGAATAAATTAATTTTAAACAGAATATAAAAATAATCATACTAAATCAGTTCGTGAACTATTTTGTAAGAATTGATGGTTAAATAATTAAAACAATTACTGCATAAACAGGAAATTGACAAGCCTTGTTCCTGCGTTAAGTTGATACAGTAACAATAACAATGAAAAACCACAGTAAAAATTTATAGGCAAGACATCAATATTTAAGAACTATACATGTAGAATACCTGCCAGTTGAAGATGTTATGATGTAGTTGGGATTATCCAAAAAGCCACACAGCTCTTCGAACTCTATATCAGAATGCACCATAATGGCACCCCTAGAAAATATCTCCGTTGACAAACTTGGAAAAAGGAAGAAGCTGACTAATACAGAAGTATGCCTTCGTAAGAATTCCGTAATTGTAGATGGACACAACTCTTTGTCGATATTAGTAATCAATATCATACACACATTTTTTGCTCCTTCAAGATCCCTGTCTTCCATTCCTCTGTCATGATAACTGACTTTAAACCCATAAAAGATAAAATTAAAATTAAAATCCAAGGAAAAGGTAATAAGATGTATATTATAGAACATCATAATAAAAAATATAAGAAAAGAGAAGAAATTATACTTTGATGTTTATTTTTACAAACGGAGAACAATATTTATTTATTTTGAAAAATAAACTAAAATCACTTTTTTTTCTTGTTCTTACCGTTTAGTGCATATAGAAAAAGTTAAGAGAGAAAAAAATTTCTTTAAAATTTTCTTAGTAGTTGTTTTTGCTTATTTTTAAGAGAAGATGTTATTATTGTTTGGTAAATTTAAATTAAAAAGATAATATAATGATTAAAAAGATAATGAAAAATAATTAGTTTAAGAGTTTATTGGGATAAATTTAAAAGATATTTAGGAGTCCGTTGAGACATTTTGATGGTGATGATATCTTTAGTGGTTATTATTTGATTCTTAGAAGATAAGATTATGATTTTAATGGCATTATAAATACACCATTGTATTCCTCATTTGAGGTATGACAAATAATCAATAAAAGTCAGTTTTTCGAAATTCTGTTATTAAATTGGTATCAGAGCCTGAGTTTTTCAGAAGAGTTAGGCTTTCTTAGGGAGAGCTAAGGTTTCTCAAGAGAGCTAGTTGTTGCTTTTTGAGCGTTAGAAAAAAGAGTGAGAATGACTAGTCTGACGAATGTTGTTGCAGTTGTGCCTCGACCAACAAAGGACATTAGTTATCAGTTATGATAGATGGAGTACTCAGATGAAGACTCTCCTCACAGCCCAAGATTGTTGGGATATAGTAGAAGATGACTATGAAGAACCAGAGACAAGAGTTGTCGACCAATGCACTCAAAGCATGCACCTCTGTTTTTGTATTCCTCATTTGAGGTATGACAAATAATCAATAAAAGCTTGGTATTAGAGCCTGAGTTTTTCAGAAGAGTTAGGCTTTCTCAGGGTGAGCTAAGGTTTCTCAAGAGAGCTAGTTGTTGTTTTTTTAGCGTCAGAAAAAAGGGTGAGAATGACTAGTCTGACAAATGTTGTTGCAGTTGTGCCTCGACCAACAAAGGACATTAGTTATCAGTTATGATAGATGGAGTACTCAAATGAAGACTCTCCTCACAGCCCAAGATTGTTGGGATATAGTAGAGGATGACTATGAAGAACCAGAGACAAGAGTTGTCGACCAATGCACTCAAACCATGCAACTCTGTTTTTGTTGTTTCGAGTGGTAGAAGATTCTAATTTTTTAGAAGATTGTAGGAATTACGTTGGCATCTGACGCATGGGATGAATTGGAGAAGGAGCACAAGAAAGAGGACCGAGTCACACGAATTTGGCGACAAACACTACGTAGCGAGATGGAGTGTATGAGAATGAAAGAGTTCAAAAAAGTTTCTGAATATGTCTTGTGTGTTGAAAACGTAGCGAAATAGCTTAATCAGAACAGAGAGGCATTTTTCACATAACAAATAGTTGCAAAAATCTTGAGGGCATTAACATATGACTTTGAGAATGTAGTGTGCGCGATAGTGCAAGCAAAATAATTATCCGAGCTTACAATAAAAGAGTTGGTCAGTTTTCTTGAACACCAAAAGAAGAAAAAGAAAGAAGGGACGATTGTACAAGTGTTGCTGCAGACCGAGGCAAAAGAGGAGAAGGCTCTCTATTCTCATAATAATAGAGGAAGGGGACGAGGACAATCTAGCCGAGGTGGCCGAGTTGGCGAGAAGGAAGGAGGTCAACAAAATTGGCAATAAAGAGGACGTGGCCGGAGAGGAGGTCGGACAACGAACTACTCAAATATCGAGTGTTTCAAGTATGACCATTATACGAATGATTGTTATTCGAACAAATATTTCAATTGTGGAAAGATGAGGCATTTTGTGAAAGAATGCCAAAAGGTGGAAGAGATCTATCTCGCAAAGGAGACGAAAGTTGAAGAAGCAATATTGTTGATGGTCGATCTTAACACTGGAAATAGTAGTGATGGAGTTCGGAAAGATATCAATCACATGTCAATTTGGTATTTAGACATGGGTGCGAGTAATCACATGTGTTTGGATTAGCACCTATTTAACAAATTGGAGAAATTTGAGGGCGATCATTTGTCTTTTGGAGATGGCTCAAAGGTCTCGGTAAAAGGTTGATGTAATATTTTTTTCATACAGAATGATGGCCTAGTTGGTCAATCGGAGATGTGTTATATGTTTTAAATCTCAAGAGTAATATTTTGAGTATGGGATAGCTAATGTAGAGAGGATACTCGCTTTTCATGAAAGACCAAATACTAGAATTGAAGGGCAAGCTCGGGAGATTGATTGCTCGAGTAAAGATGGGAAAGAATAGAATGTACAAGTTACAGTTGAGAAGCATTCAAGAGAGGTGTCTGAAATCAAATGTAGAGGACATGTTAAAGAAGAATCATAAAGTTGGTCACATGCATTTTTATGGTTTAACCAAGTTGATTCATAATATTGATCTGAATGTCTGAGTTGATAAAACGAGTGAGTAGAATTAGGGAGAATTAGAGGATGATAGAGGAGGTTGAGCTACTACACCACCAATAGTAGCCAGTTCAGAAACTGAGGAAGAAGAACATGAAAAACATGGTGTTTGGATTGTCGAGAACGGAGGGAAGAGTTTGTGAAGGTGTGACGATGACCGAGCTTCAGAAAAATGTCAATTGCAGAGAAAATTCAAGTTAAGTAGTGGATTTCAAAGTAACCATGTCCAAGTTGTTACAAACAAAATGATCCGAGTTGTTATGGACGAGAAGGTCCAGGATGTTATTGAAAAGAAGATAAGAATTGATATTGAAGAGAAGATCCAAACTCTTGTGAATGAGAATATCCGAGTTATAAAACACAACAACACAATGGTGATGAATAGATTTTTGAACTATGACCGAGTTGTTGGTGTGAAGCAGGTGGATATCAAGTCAGCATTTTTAAATGGTGTGCTCAAGGAGGAGATGTATGTGGAGCAACCACTTTGGTATGTGAAGAAGGACGAAGAGGAATCAAGGATATTTGTGTCCCAAGAGGCATATGCAAAGGAGATTCTGAACAAATTTAAGATAATCGATTGTTATTTGGTCTCAACCCCAATGCAACTAGGGACGAAGCTTTCAAAATTTGATGGAGGAGACCAAGTTGATCTGAGTAGATATCGGAGCCTAGTTAGAAGTTTTCGTTACCTCACTAGTACCAGACCTAATTTATTACTGAGTGTTAGGATTGTCAGTCGGTTCATGGAAAATCTGAGCTACTCTCATTGGAAGGCGTTGAAGTGAATATTGAGGTATATCCAAGGAATATTGTCACTCGGACTATTGTATATAAAGTCGGACAATTACCTACTTATGGGGTACTCCGACAGTGACTGGTGTGGAGATGTGGATGATCTGAAAAATACATCAAGGTGTGTATTCTTCATGGGTAATACAATGTTTACCTGGCTTTTAAAAAAAACAAAACATAGTAACATTGTTAACATGTGATGCCGAGTACATAACAACATTGTGGAGAGTGAATCATGTAGTGTGACTCAAAAATTTGCTAAGGTCGATGGAGCACAAAAAATTTGGTGCAACCGTAATCAGAGTTGATAACAAGTCACCCATTAAACTGGGGAATAATTCGATCAATTATGAGACAAGTAAGTACATTGATGTGCGTTTTCACTTCATTCAAGAACATGTGAAGGGTATGTGGAACTCGTACATGTGACAAACCGATATCAAGTTGTTCATATTTTCATGAAGTCACTACCTACTGTGTTATTCAAGAACTGCAAGAGACTGATTGGATGAAGCATGGAAGGAACTTGGGTGCTCGAAAATTCGGATGTTTGACAAATTGACAAGTCGACAACAAGTGGGGAGGTCGGGAGATTGATCAATCCTATCTCAGTTGTTGTTGTAAAGATATTTAATTTTACGGGGAAGTTTTGTTGGATAAAATTAAATTAAAAATATAAAAAAAGATAATGATTAGAAAGATAATACGAAGATAATTAGTTTAAGAGTTTATTGGGATAAAATTAAAATATAATTAGGAGTTTGTTGGAATATTTTGATATTGATGATATCTTGGATGGTTATTATTTGACCGAGTTGTTGGTGTGAAGCAGGTGGATATCAAGTCGGCATTTTTAAATGGTGTGCTCAAGGAGGAGATGTATGTGGAGCAACCACTTTGGTACATGAAGAAGGACGAAGAGGAATCAAGGATATTTGTGTCCCAAGAGGCATATGCAAAAGAGATTCTGAACAAATTTAAGATAATCGATTGTTATTTGGTCTCAACTCCAATGCAACTAGGGATTTTCAAAATTTGATGGAGGAGACAAAGTTGATCCGAGTAGATATCGGAGCCTAGTTAGAAGTCTTCGTTACCTCACTAGTGCCAGACCTAATTTATTACTGAGTGTTAGGATTGTCGATCGGTTCATGGAAAATCTAAGCTACTCTCATTGGAAGGCGTTGAAGTGAATATTGAGGTATATCCAAGGAATATTGTCACTCGGACTATTGTATATAAAGTCGGACAATTACCTACTTATGGGGTACTCCGACAGTGACTGGTGTGGAGATGTGGATGATCTAAAAAATACATCAAGGTGTGTATTCTTCATGGGTAATACAATGTGTTACCTGGCTTTTAAAAAAAACAACACATAGTAACATTGTTAACATGTGATGTCGAGTACATAACAACATTGTGGAGAGTGAATCATGTAGTGTGGCTCAGAAATTTGCTAAGGTCGATGGAGCAGAAACAATTTGGTGCAACCGTAATCAGAGTTGATAACAAGTCACCCATTAAACTGGGGAATAATTCGATCAATTATGAGAGAAGTAAGTACATTGATGTGCGTTTTCACTTCATTCAAGAACATGTGAAGGGTATGTGGAACTCGTACATGTGGCAAACTGATATCAAGTTGTTAATATTTTCATGAAGTCACTACCTACTGTGTTATTCAAGAACTGCAAGAGACTGATTGGATGAAGTTTGGAAGGAACTTGCGTGCTCGGAAATTCGGATGTTTGACAAATTGACAAGTCGACAACAAGTGGGGAGGTCAGGAGATCGATCAATCATATCTCAATTGTTGTTGCAAAGAGATTTAATTTTACGGGGAAGTTTTGTTGGATAAAATTAAATTAAAAAGATAAAAAAAAAAAGATAATGATTAGAAAGATAATACGAAGATAATTAGTTTAAGAGTTTATTGGGATAAAATTAAAATATAATTAGGAGTTTGTTGGAATATTTTGATATTAATGATATCTTGGATGGTTATTATTTGACCGAGTTGTTGGTGTGAAGCAGGTGGATATCAAGTCAGCATTTTTAAATGGTGTGCTCAAGGAAGAGATGTATGTGGAGCAACCACTTTGGTACGTGAAGAAGGACGAAGAGGAATCAAGGATATTTGTGTCCCAAGAGGCATATGCAAAGGAGATTCTGAACAAATTTAAGATAATCAATTGTTATTTGGTCTCAACCCCAATGGAACTAGGGACGAAACTTTCAAAATTTGATGGAGGAGACCAAGTTGATCCGAGTAGATATCGGAGCCTAGTTAGAAGTCTTCGTTACCTCACTAGTACCAGACCTAATTTATTACTGAGTGTTAGGATTGTCGGTCGGTTCATGGAAAATCTAAGCTACTCTCATTGTAAGGCGTTGAAGTTAATATTGAGGTATATCCAAGGAATATTGTCACTCGGACTATTGTATATAAAGTCGGACAATTACCTACTTATGGGGTACTCCGATAGTGACTGGTGTGGAGATGTGGATGATCTGAAAAATACATCAAGGTGTGTATTCTTCATGGGTAATACAATGTTTACCTGGCTTTTAAAAAAAACAACACATAGTAACATTGTTAACATGTGATGCTGAGTACATAACAACATTGTGGAGAGTGAATCATGTAGTGTGGCTCAGAAATTTGCTAAGGTCGATGGAGCAGAAACAATTTGGTGCAACCGTAATCAGAGTTAATAACAAGTC